GAAACTTCATATGTTCGTATGATCATGTACAAGTGATGTTAATCATCAATCATGCTTGGAAATGATTCTACAACCTCAATAACATCAAACTCCTTCATCTATTCCATAAAACCTAATGCGAACATAAACCCTAGAATTTGGGATCTTTGAATACAAACCAAATTATCAAGCAATAATGACACCAAATGATAGCGTTTTTTAATATAACATTTTTTCTATTTCACGGCATGATCCAAAAATTAAAGGAAATTGCTCAAAAATGAAAAATAAAATTTCTCTTACCTTGGTATGAAGGAGCACAAAATGTTGGCTGAAAATGGCTCGGTTTCATGAAATTTTAGTTAATTTCATGTTAATTTAGCCTTTATTTAAGCTTAAATGAAAAAAATATTCATTTAATAAGAAATGTCTATTTTACCCTTAATGAAACTTGATATTTACCTTAATACCAAGCCATATAAACCTTATCATCTTCGAAATTCGAAGATGGACAAAATATTTTGCCCTTTACAACTTTGCCATTTTTCATCCAACTGTCTAAATTGAATATGAAAATAAATTCTCAAATCCAACGCTCCATATTATTTTCCATCATTTTAAAATGTGGAAATAATATTTCTAAGATTTTATCATCCTTCAAATTTTCTAAAATTTTCTATTTGATTCGATTTACCGAATTTTTACCGAGCTTTAACACTTTCTTATTTTTAACACAATTTCTAGATCAAGAATCCGATTTCAATGAAACCCCACTCTCAAGAGTAAACTATACATTTATGAAATAAAAATTCTTTTTTGGGAAAATTACCACTTAGGTCCCTAAATGTTTCCCAATTTTCTACTTTGGCCAGCCAGCTTTCAAAATTTACATTTTGGTCACTAACCAAAATTTTGGAGTATTACAGGAAATATGTAAAGTCCTATGTAAATTCAATTGTGTCTTAGGTATGCCCTGACCCTGGACTGGGGGAGCTACCCCTGATCTAAACTTTTCTGTACCAAAAAAATATAATCTTAAATTGAATATTTTTATATAGTTAATTTTTTAAATAAAATATATGAAGAATATAAATGATTCAATTTATATTTAAATGTAAGAATCATATATATTTTGTGTACATTTTATTTTTCTTATATAAAATAATATTTAAAATATATTTATATTTTAATAAAAAATTAAATTTATGAATAAAAATATATTTATATATTTAAATGTATTTAAATAAACAAATAAAAATATATTTACATATTTAAATGTATGTATGATATATATTTTTCTTTACATTTTATTTTTAATAAAAATAAAATTATTAATTAAACTTAAAATACTTAATTCAAAATCACATTAAGGGGTCAAAATTGTGTGCGCTGAAAAGTTTGGGCTCCATTAGACAACAGATGCGACGGTTGATGAATGTAGACGCGATGGTCGACGAGTCCGTTAAGTTTTTAACGATGAGTTATTAAATTGAAACAAAAAACTAAACGTTATATATAATTTTAAAAAAATTAAATATTAAAATAGATCAAAACTAAAAGTTTAAGTACTAAACGGATATATTTTATCACAATTATGGTGTTAGACCGATTCTACGGTTAAAATATATTAAAAGTGGCTTCCAATTTCATGTATAATTCATCTCGTATTTGATCCTTTTGGATATTTTTAATTTGGTGATTTGTCATTAAAAATTTCTGAGACTAATGTTTATTTACGAGTAATCAATACAAAAATACATTTGAACTATTAAATAGAAAATATTTAGATCTTTGGATAGGATCCACCAACCATAAAATTTAAATCCAACTCAATGTTGATATGTGTGATAAAATTTAAATATGAGATATCAAATATTTTGATTTAACTTTATCATTTAAATTAGAGGCGCGATTGATTGATTTGATTAATTTTAAAAGAACTTTATCATTAACTCAAAGTTCAGTTTGGTTTAATGTAGTTTTCTTTCATATTACCTTTGAGTTGATTTTTAATGTTATTTTGATAATATAATATAATGTATTGTTTCTAAACATTATCTGTTAACGTTTTAATTTTTTTTATAAAATAATTAATTTTAAATTAAAAATAATTAATAATTCTTATATAATATTTTTAAATTATTTTAATATTTAAGATATAAATACTTATATCATAGTATAAATAAATAGGTGATGATTATAAATCAAATAAAAATAAAATTTGATTTGATTAACTAAATTTTTTATATAAATTATTAAGGGTAAACGATGCGAATAGTCCCCTATGTTTAGGGTCTGACCGATTATGGTCACCAATTTAAAAATTAATGAGAAATGATCCCTAGTATTATCGATCCGTTCGATTTTAGTCCTTTATCCATTAATTTTTGTTATCCCCCTTTTGTTTAAGTTTCTAACATGGTTGAGGGACTAAATTAATGACTGAAAGACTAAAATTGAATAAATTGATAATGTTAGGGACTAAAATCGAATAGATTGATAACGTTAGGGATCATTCCCCCTAAATTTTTAAATCGGTGACCAAAATCAGTTAGACCAAAAACATAGGAACTATCTCAATAGTTTACCCAATTATTAACCATCCAAATGCAGAATTGTTTTACTCCCACCTAATTTGAACAAAGCCTTAAGAAAAGAAAAGCTTAACCTATGTTTGACTAGTGATCCGCATATTTTCTAATATTTTTCTGTTATATATATATATATATATATATATATATATGGGTTAACGTCCACTTACACTTGGGGGACGTTTGGTTTGCGAAAAATATCATTATCAAAGGGAGTAATCTTTTTCGTAATTACATTCCTATGTTTGGTTCATGGAAAATATTGTTATTAGGGAATAATCTTTTCTCAATAATAATATTTTTTTAATTAAAATGATGGGAATTACATTATTTCCAAATTCTTCGGCGTTAGACAATTCCCACTACTTTGGACAATACCCATAGACTAATGAATTCTTTTTATAATGATCATTCTCAATTCTTATTTGCTTGTACTTCACTCAAAATTATAAACATAATAATATAAAAAGAGTTTACTTTACTAAAATATTAATAAATTTGATTATTTAAAACTATTTTATATTTTTTATATTCAATATATTAATTAATTGTATTTTTATGAAGTGAACAATAATATTATCATAAAAATGTAATTATTTAAAATAATATATAATTTTAAATTATGAAAAATAGATCTTATAGATTGAAAATAATATGTGTCTATTCGGTACCATAATATTATTTTTTTCATATTATATTATATTTTATATAAACAAATATGATACTCATGAAAATTATTTTAAAAATATAAGTTTAATATAGTAATTATATATTAAATGTAGTTTTTCTCAAAAATTAGATAGTATAAAAATTAAAATATTTCTATGAATTTTCATTCAAATATTTATAATTTAATATTAAAATTTAAATTTCTAAAAGAAACATATATCATAAGGATAATTTGATAAAATATGCATTCAAGTAATCTTATGTTCATCTAACCAAACACTGTAATTTTACATTGTTGATAAATAAACCAAACAAGGTAATATAACATTTTTATAGTAATGTTACCTTCTAGTGATGTTATTCTCAAATATAATCTTACATTCCGTGAACCAAACGTCACATAATGCAAAACTTTTAGTTTTACACCATTTTAGGATCATTCGATAAGGAAAAATCAAAGTGAGATTAACTCCTTATTCTTTTTCAGTGAATATATTATCATTTCCTACTGTTAATCTCAACATTTAATTTCTTCTCATCCAACAATCCTAAAAAGGTGTAAAACTTTTTAGTTTTACACTATGTAATTGGATATTAGCCCTATATGGATGGATGTATACAAACGGTCCCCCAACTATAACATGTTATTTTGTTGAGTTTTTTAACTATTAAAAGTTACAAAATGGTATATGATTATAGGACATATTTTGTTGAGTCTCTAAACTATTAAAAGTTACAAAATTGTCACTCAACTATCATATGTTCCAAAGTCGTCATTTTTCATTAAAAAATTGATGATCATTTAAACTGAACATTAACCTATTAATTGAGATATGATAAAACCAGATCCACAAAATATAGATAAAAAGGTTTTTCGATCATATTTTATCATATCTCGGTTAGTAGATTAATATCCAACTGAGACACTTGTCAATTTTTTAACGGAAAAGGAAAGTTTAGAACATATGAATAGTCAGGTGACCATTTTTTAACTTTTAATAGACGAGGGTCTCAACAAAACAATGTATTTTAATCGAAAACTATTTTATAACTTTTAGTAGTCAAGGTACTCAACAAAACAACATCCTATAATCAAATATCATTTGTATATTTTTCCTATATATTTTTGGGTAAACTATGCACTTAGTGCATAAACTATCAGTTTTGATTCATTTTAGTACATAAACTTTTGATTTTTTTAAAACCATACCTAACGTTTAGTTTTCATTTCATCTTAGTACCCCGACATTAAAAACTTAACGTGTTACTACCTAAACTATCAGTGTTGATCCATTTTAGTACTTACTCTTTCAATTTTTTCAAAACTTAACGTTAAATTTTGAACGAGGATACTAAAATGAAACAAAAAACTAAAATTTGTATCGACGGGTACTAAAATGGAACAAAAATTAAATTTTAAGCATAATTTTTTAAACAGATTAAAATTAATAGTTTAAATATTAAACGCGTAATTTAGGTTTGTTTTTTTGGTAAACTGAAGGTAGTTATGAACTCGGATAATTATCCAACGCTATTATTTAAACCACGTCTCCTCAACCCAAGTTGTATTTAATGCTTATGAGAAGATTTAACCTCCGCCAGAAAAAAGGCTAATCGTTGTCTTTCAGCCTCCATTTTTAGTACTTCAGATTAACCACAATTTCTCCACTTTCTACCCTTCTTTATCCCTCCTTTCACTCTACTTTTCTACTCTTAAAACCCTTTCAAATTTGGAGTTTTTCTATTCTGGCTCTCCCAACTATGGAAGCTTTTAGCTTGCTCAAGTATTGGCGAGGCGGTGGTACTATTGCCTGTGTTAATACACGTTCCACCGCCACTTGCACCACCACCATAGTCACCGCCGCTACTCCTCATCTGGCGGTTGACACAGAAGACGACGACGTCGTCGATGATGGCCCTTTCTTCGACTTAGAATTTGCAGTCCCTGATGAGTATGGAACAGAGGAAAACGAAGATAATGTTGTAGATGAAGGGAGCCAGGATTCAAACGACGACATTGATACGAATTCCGACGGTCGCTGCTCCGGTAGTGAAGCAGGGCAAAACAATGGCCAATCTGAGTCAAACTCGTCTTTGGACTCGGACCCTCCTCAATTTCGTGTCTCGTTTTTTAAGTCGGCATCCAAAGTTGGGATTTTTTTGCTGAGGATGAAGAAATCAGCCTCCAATGGAACTGTTACTCCCAGAAAACAAGAAAAAACGAAAGAACCGAACAGTGTCAACAACAAGAACAGGTTTTTTACAGTGAAATTTAAGGTCGAAGAGGTTCCCATAATGTCTCTGTTTTCCAAAGACAACAAATCCCATAAACAGCAAACCTCCGATAACAACTCTGTTTCGGATGTAATGCAAAGGTACATAAAGAAAGTTAAGCCTCTTTACGTTAGGGAGAAGCTAAGGTTTTCAGGGGCTGTAATGCCACCGTCTACGGTGGCTCAAGAATCGGTTTCGGGGAAGACAACGGCGGCGGCTGGGGAGAATCGGGTAAAACTGGCGAGTGCTCGAACAGGACTTAGATTAGGTACGTCCGCCGTGGCGGCGGAGAATTTGTCAAAGAGGAGAGATGATTCTCTGTTGCAGCAAGAGGATGGTGTCCAAAGCGCCATCTTGCATTGCAAAAGATCCTTCAATGGCTCTCGAGGTATATTTCATTTAAAAGCTCGTTTATGGTAGATTACCCTTTTTCAATTTTTTTTGTGACTCCATTTTCTTTTTTTGGTTATGGTAGATTCTTTAGAGTCATCAATGTCGTCAAGTTCAGGCGAGTCACCCATTATTTTGTGAAGAAAAAACATCAGCAGATGAAGCTTATAAAGGATGAAGGAAAATGTTGTGTAGGAAAGCAAGCTAGCGTATGTCTGGGAAAGTGAAAGAAGAATTAGATGCACTAAGCTAGTTCGTTGTTAAATAATTGTTATTATTCTTGAAGGATTGAATTCGAGTAATAGAAATATTAGAAATATAAATGTTTAATCTCACATGATTAATAGATTTTTAAACAAATATTATATTTTGTTTAACTCAAATTAATAGAAAACAAAGAGAGAAAAATTAGATCTTGTATCTATCTTCGAAAATTATGTAGTGCAGGGTCATCATTATCAGCAATTTTACCTCCAAGAGATGCCAATATAAATAAATTCAATAATTCTCAAACTATTAATATTACATGCATATAGACCCTAATTTAAGTCATCCTTAAAATTTAAGAACTAATTTAAAAGAATGATAATACTTTAAGGGCATACATTATGATTAATCTCGATTGTTGTCTGCTCAGCCAGAGTGTACATGAAGTGAACTTTCAAAGGTTAATAGTAGTTGTAGTAATAATATTTCGTGGTCAATCTAATGTGCGTAGAAGTTAGAATTCAAGGCTCTCACGAGTATTGGGACAGCGAACCTCAATGCGCAGCGGTTGTTTACCCTTTTTCCCCGGTTTGGCCTTGGTCATTTTCTGTTTCTGTATATTCTACGCGTCATTTGGAAATGTTTATGATTGTGTTTTCATCCAAAATTTCGTTCCAAATGTAAAATATCATTCATAAATAATTCATTTTCAATTAAGAATTCATGTTTAAAACGTGATCATTAACTCGAATCAAGGAACTTAAAAGTGATGTTTTGCGTTAAAAAACTTGTTTAAAGAAACATTCCCAAATGAAACTTGATCTGAATGGATTTATCTTTTGGAATTTCTCTTCAAAGAATTACCTTTCTCAACACATGACCTGAAGACTTCAAAACACAATAAATACATACTTTGAGTGGTTCTGCGGTGTGTCAGTCTAATTTAATATGATTTTAATTTAAAATACTATTATGTTCAGCCTAAAAGGTTATATAAATTTTTAACATTTTCAGTTATAACTACGAGAGTTTACGACTTACAGCCAAAAACATTATAAATAATGTAATATTTTTAGTTGTAACCATCCAATCTAAAAAAAACTACTATGTGCAACATAAAATGTTACTAGCTTAATATGATTTTTTATTGTAACTGATTTTTACCGTTTTCAACCCTATATAACTAATTATATTTTAGAATTTTTCGACTATTTATTTCTCGAAAAAAATGGACTAAAGTTAGTTATCCCGCATTGTTTATTATTGTTAATGTTGCGCATTCATTGTTTCTTTTTGGCCCAAGACCAGTAATGTAGCAACATTGACCTCCCCGTCAAAATAATTAATTAGAGCATCCTTTGGTTATCGAATAAAATAAAAGCCATGAACCATAAAACACTGCCATTTGTTTAATCATCAGTGAAGTCTTTAATTTTATGGCATTCATTTGAAGCATCTTTATAGATCATTGGGAACTGCGTTAGTCCAATTTCGTCGTCCACCAACCACCATGCATGTGACTGAGAGAATATGTCAATGCATGCCCTTAACTTAGAAACATGATGTAAAAAAAAAAAAAATCTCGTTAACATTCATAAAATATTCACTTTAATTCTTATCTTTTAAAATATTTTAATCTTTAATGCTTTATTTTAATTTTATTTTAGAATAAAATATTTTTGGTTAGATGAAAATCTATTAAGAATTTGATAGAAAAAAATAACTAAAGTGATATCAACATAAAATAAAACATACACAATAGACAATATTTGACATGGTCTGACATTGCATGCCTCCACGGATGAAATAAACAATAATACACTATAAACGTAGGGAACACGAGGAATACAAACACATGATATCACTTGTATCCCAAAACTCGATATAGATACCAAAACCTGATATATCTCAAAACACTCTTTTAACATCCTTATAAAATTATCTCTGCAACATAAACCCCAAAAGTTTAAATATTCCAAAAAAGATTACATCTCTCTAAAATAATTATCTCTTAAATTAATCCTAAACGCCGAGACATTACCTCTATTTATTAAACAAAATACTTGGTCTCAAAGAATTCTTATTCCATAATAATTCTCGTCTAAAATAAATATTTACTTTATTAAATAAACTTAATTATCAAGAAATATTCGACAACTTAATTATCAATTATAATTTAAATCAAAATATAACAAAATCGTTAATTGACTAATGATCATGACTTATAACTAACGTGACACATACTATATGTCTAAAGTGATAATGTGACATTACCATGAGTTCAAAGTAATAACGTGATATATATCACATGTTCAAAGTAATGACGTGATATATATCATTTGTCCAAAATAATGACTTGATATTGCCACGTATATAAAGTTATGACTAACAAATCTTACGTATCTAAAGTGATAATGTGACTTTTTTTAATAGTCTAGGTTGATTATAAGGTATTATTTCGAACTCAAAACTTACAAATAAAATAACATTTCCTTTTACTACTGATATTATTTCGAACTCAAAACTTAATAAATAAATGATATAACATTAACGTAATATTTTTAATTATCATGGCATATTTATTCAAGTTCATTATACTTAATCAATGAATTAATTTTGTAATGGAATGAAGTTTTTAATGGTCATAACATTTCTTTTGAAGCCTGCATGTGAGTGGGAGAACATGCGAAATGTCAATACTCGTATTTTAAAAAGCCAGATTCATGTGATAAAGTTTGATACCCTAATGTTTAGGTACTCTTAAATATTTAAATTTTTAAGCATTAAAGATAGGAGGTTTGGCTCCAACTGTCTAATTAATATAATCATGTAGCTAGAAATGAGGAAACATATGATTAGACCATTGAGGATATATTAAAAAACGAGAGAGAAAATGCAATGTATTTGGTTTATGGATTTAAGAGAAACATGTTAGCAGATATTAGGGTTTATTGTAAGTGCAATAGGAGACATATAGCCTCAAAAAAGCCTGCATGCATGGCTTTCTCCAAATAACCTGTGATCAAATAAGGGGTATACTCCTCGATAAAAATAACATAATGTTAAAATAGTTTCCAACGGTTATTAAAATGTTTTTAGGGGGAAAAAGCTCTTATATAAGAGTATTAATAGTTTGTTAACTACCAGTTTTCATTTATAGAGGATTTTTTTTGTCCCAAAATAAAATGACGGGTCAAAATACTTTAAAAAGAATAGGAGTCAAAGTAACTATTTAATTAAACATTAGAGATTTTTTTTGAAATTATGCCTAAAAAGAAAAGAAGTTTTACTTTGAATTTTGATGCTACTAATGGAATAAATTAGATTGAAAGAGCCATTTTATAATGAGAACAAGTGGCAGATATATGACTTTTTCATCTGAATTTTCTTCGTTTAGTTATTTATTTTGTTGATTATACACACTCTAAAGTTTTATTTTTGCCCACCCGTATAAAAAATTTGTTATTAACATATATATATCCACCCTTTAAATTATTTATGGATCATTCGTTGATAAAATTTTAGAGTACTTGATCTAGATTAATCGAGTAATAAATTAAATATAAATGGATTATATATATATATAAGTGTGATTCATGAACACTCCAGCACTGTAATTCTAGTTTAGTGTTTCTTTTTATTGGAACTCATAAGTGGATGGATGTTTGGAACACGAATTTCATCATAAAACCATGATGTCATTGCGACTGTTTTAAGGGACAAACACCCTTAGCTAGAGGGACATTTTTTTCCTTCCAAATTTGAAGGTGATTCAAACTCTTTTGGCTGATTAATATATTTTTCGTTTAGGGATAAGATGCATGCACTCTGAAAAGGCTTGACAAAGAAAGTCCCAACATGCTCTCATTAACCTGATGAAGAAAGATTTGGCCCTGCTCCCACAGTTGATATATTTTTCTGCCTATTTCTCTTCCCGGTTGTTACCGGGAAAAAATACATATATAAATAAGGGTAAACTACCATAATGATCACTTAGTTACAATTTTGTTCATTAATTTTGAAAAAATTACACTTCGATCACTTAGATTATTGATTTATAAAATTTTGACTACTTATGTTACTGATTAGAACATTTTGATCACTAAACTGTCATATTAGTTTGATAATGTGACACATTAATAAAATAAATAATTTTTTAATTTGACTCCTAAACTTTAGATGAAATATCATTTTGACCCTAAACTTTAGATAAAAGAATTTGACCTTCGAATTCATAGAAAGATGTAACTTGGTGGATTTACCTATGTAAGGTAAAAAATTTACTTGGTTCTTCCTTGCACTTTAACTGCTGCTGAACTGTTGAGTTGGTCGAAAGGATGTAGAATAGGAGTATGTTGTTGTAAACCTTGGATAAGGCTTGGAGTTGGTACAATGTATTCCAGTATTTGTTTATTTTATTTTGAAGTGTGATGGTTAGGATCTGCATAAAATATCGTGGGTTGAGCTTCTTGGATCCTCCAGTATATAGAGGAGCCGATTTCTTTGATTGTTAGAACTGGGCGATGCTGCGTATGAGTTTTGGAAGGCAGGATTTGGAAGTTCTGGCATGGTGTTTTCGGTCAATTGTTGCTTGTTATGCATGGCGGGTTTGGTTCTAATTGTTTATCAAGGGTGCCTTCTTGTAATGTGAAATTGGGTGATATGT